TTTATAGGTGCGTCGCAGACACGATCCAATGAGGTAAAGACGCATGAATAAACGATTGAGTAAAAGATGCGTGACAGCTCACACATGTGAAAAAGTTCACTGGAATTCTTGCTCTCCGAAGAGAACATGTCGACCTTAAATGAATGATCTCGGCCGAGGAGTTTTTGAGCCAATGTACAGAAAGAAATATCAATATAGGTTCTATCACCTCAGAATACCGAGGTAATAGAACCTAGGGGGCAGTTGTGGGGATATATTTTCTGAATACCAACACGTGGCAAGGTGATGCAGACGTGTCAGCCGAGGTGTCACGTGTCTTGGTTGTAATGCTAAGGTTATCTCGGCAAGGCCGAGGTTATGTCCGAAGATATCGGAGTCCGATATATGCGGATAGGGGACAAGAGTCCTAGCATAAAGAGGAGACTTAGCCAAGATAATGATAAAGCTCTTAGGGAGTTTATCTTTATCTCTTGAGAAGTCCAAAGAAGTTCTGAATTGGAGCCCATAGAAGTCAGGCTTCTAGTGGGACTAGGATTGGGTAAATTATAAAAGAGATGCACCCCTGTGGGTCTAAGGTACGCAATCTATGCTTTGAATAGTAAGTTTAGCACTTGATTATCTTGGAGAGATATACTGACTTTGTTAGGTTTTATTTCTTGGCAATCCCGTTTGACAAAACTCCTTTCAGTTGTATTTCTTTTCGCACTTTTATTTCAGTGAGGCTATGAGTGTTTAGATGCGAATCCAACCCGAATTGTGCCATTCAAAGTTTCCTGTCCGATCATGTTATATTTTTCCAGTTTTTCCATTTTTGGCCTTCCCGCTCGAGCGGGGAAAGGGACACTCGAGCGGGGATTGGAAGCTCTCAGCATCTCTGCAGTCGCCTGTAAAAATACTGGAAGGTGTGATTTTACGCTCGAGCGGATTCTCCTACGCTCGAGCGCATCTCAGTTTGTTCGCACGCAGTTTTTGGTCAGTCCGCTCGAGCGGGCTGTGTTGAGCTCGAGCGGAGATCGCGGGACAGATTCTATAAATTCGCGTGTTGGGTCAAATTTTTAGTATAACTGCTCCAGATCTTCTTTTTGGTTTCTAGGGTTTATATCTGGGGATACTTTGGGAGTTTTTCTTTGATGTTTTTGAGAAGAGTTCTTCAACTCATGATTTAAAAAGAGTACATCAAATGTTGTGTTTTGTTCTACAAAAGAGAGAGTTGTTCTTCAGTTGTGGATTCTGAAGAATTCGAGCCTGAAGCTTTGGTGGAATCCGGAGCCGCTCGAGCGGGCTGTGTTGAGCTCGAGCGGAGATCGCGGGACAGATTCTATAAATTCGCGTGTTGGGTCAAATTTTTAGTATAACTGCTCCAAATCTTCTTTTTGGTTTCTAGGGTTTATATCTGGGGATACTTTGAGAGTTTTTCTTTGATGTTTTTGAGAAGAGTTCTTCAACTCATGGTTTAAAAAGAGTACATCAAAGGTTGTGTTTTGTTCTACAAAAGAGAGAGTTATTCTTCAGTTGTGGATTCTGAAGAATTCGAGCCTGAAGCTTTGGTGGAATCCGGAGTGGCTCATCAGAAAGACAATTCCGTGGTGAAGATGGGGTTGGAAGAGGCACATAAAGGTTGGTTCAATTAGGCGTTGTGGATTCGCTAGGTAATTGAGAGTATACCTGTGTAATTCCTTTAATTCTTCTTAGTGGATTGTCTTGTGGCTGTTGCCCGTGGTTTTTTGATCACAGTTGGAGGTGTCCAATTGTGGTTTTTTCCACGTTAAAATCGTTGTGTCTCTTTGTCTTGATTGTTTGATTGTTTGATTGAGATTATTATATTCTGCTTAAAATTGATACATAATCACAAATCAACATCTAGGGGATTTCTAGATTTTTCAGACTTGATCGTCGGAGTGCCCCTGGGTGGACGAACCATCGCCGGAATCTTCTCTTTCTGTTGCAGGTCAGCCATGTGCCATCTATTCTGCCAGTACTCTCCAGCTGGTTACTAAGTAGGCAGTGTGGTCAGAAAATCACTCACACACATAGAAAGAGGGTTTTCACTTGAAATTTACTTTTAAAATTTCTCTAAAAGTGAATACATTAGAAATTAGTCATAAATATTAACTTACAACACTCACACGTAGCGTAGAGGGTGAAACTAACTTGACCCATCTTAATCAGTTACATTCCTTCATAAGACCTCATGATGGCGTAATAAGATTATTGAATAATTTTTTCATAAGCCAAAATAAAAATATTAAAAATCATCTTAATATTATGCTTTCATAATATCATAATTATCTATCCAATTATACATATATGTATATATAAAAGGTAAATTACACTGACCACTCAGATTTATGAAAATGTAATAAATTTTGTAAATTTGACTTGCACCAAGCATCATTTTAGAGAATAAATTTGTTCATAAATTTTGTGAAGAATACACACTTTACTATTTTTTGAACAATAATATGGTCACACCTTTAATATCAAAACCAACCAATGAGCATCAAGTATAATATTCACACACTTATTTGGTGTGAACAAATTTACACTCATCAATTTGATAAGGTTGAAATGGTTAAAATTAATATAAATGAGTGTAGACAACTGAATAATCAATAATAAAATATATATTTTGATATAAAATGGATGATGTCATTTTTTTATCTATACAATCGACGAAAAATTAATGAAAAGATTTCAAAATGTTATGGTAATTAAATCTTGAAGGAGTTTTGTGTAATTTACCTATAAAAAAAATAAGAGTGATTCTATTTATACACCATTAATACTCTCTATACAAACAAAATAATTTTTAGAATTAAAAAATATCTTATTTCATACCTTAACTTTCCATTATTACTCCTATATTAACACACCACTAACTATTTGAATACACATCATTACACATATTAAAAACTCTTCATCTTCACCACTGCATACAACAAATCCCCTCAATCTTCAGAATAAAGACCATTCGGCCTCCATATTCATCAATATTGATCTCTATAGTTGGTGTTGAACTCTCGTCGTGTCTTATCTCATCGTTTTAAATTGTTGGCGGAGTGTTTCATTAACCTCCATCTTCGCTGGTACTGATCTTCACTGTCGATGTTGAACTCTCGTCTCTCATTGCCATTTCAGATTACCATTCTCACCCTTTATTTATGAGTGTATATTAATGGTGAAGATGATGAAACATGATCGTACCTCTTTCGTAACAAGTTAATTTTTGTAGTCAACAACACAATTAGTTTTAACATTGCTACATTGTCTGGGTATAGAATTATGTAAAAAATTTAACAAATTCATCAAATTAGTCATGTACAAGAATACAGGGTTGAACAAACTTAATGTGTTCAAAAATATATATATGAACAACGAATAAAAAGTTTAATTTATTTTAATCGAACTAACTAAAAATGTTCAATTTTTTTTATATATGAACATTTAATATGTGGTCAATCTTAATAATTTGAACAAAATTCTTTTGGTCAAATACGAATAGTCGACCATTTTGTAAAAGTTAAACTCTAATTATTCGAATACGACGAACAAACTCATCATTTTCACATATGAATGAGATAAATAAAAAATCAAAAGATGAACGAGATAAATAAAAAATCAAAAAGCTAAGTCATAAACTAACTTTTTAATGTTTAAATCAACGTTTTTAATGTTTATATCAGAATCAATCATCTCAATGTCATCTATAGTGTACAAATCTTCAAAACTAATTGATTTCAATATTCTTAAGCCCTAAATCTTCAAAAATAATAATACTTTGAGTTTGAAAAATAAGTATAATGAGGAAGAAAATGAAGTGAACTAATTGATAATGAATGATATTATGAGTGTATATTAATGATGAAGATGATGAAGAAATACAATATTTATGTATTAAAATTCTAAATCATATAGAGATGATAGTATGTGAAGAGTATTTTATGTTTTTAAGGCCTGGTTTGAGATTTTTAAAATAATCTGAAAAGTCAAAAAATTACTAAAAAATTAAAAGTTATCACTATTCACAAAAAAAAATATTAATTTTACACGAAACTATTACAAACTGAATTGACGTCCCATAGGCATGAGCTGACTTTTTGGAAAAAATTGCACAGGCGGAGTGCACAAATAATATGGTGTTTTTTGGTCTGTGGGGGCCCATTACGGGTCCCGTTTTGATAATCTGAACCGTTGAATATGTACAACTCGTCGAGTATTATATGCCTATAAAAAATCACGTTGATCGGATATCGCTAACTACATGATCAAATTAGTTTTGTATAAAAAATGGATGGTGTTATAGTTAACGGTTGAAAAAAAATTAATCCGATCAGATAGCTATCGATATTCGATCAATGTGATTTTTTACAAGTATATAATACTTGACAAATTTTACACATTGAACGGTTCTGATTAGTAAAACGAGACCCGTGGTGTGTCCCCACGAGCTGAACAACACCATCCATTCAATATTCGAAAAGGAGGGAATCATCTCTTAGCCTATACACTACACGCTATCATTTACCTCATTCTATCGTACAACCTATTTTATTCCAATCTTCCCCTATACATTAATTTATACAATTTTTTAATACACATTTTTTTTATAAAAAGTCAAAAAATTATTCTAAACAATCATATTTTTTTTCTCAACTTTTTAGTCTAAAAAATACACTTATTTAGGACACCTAAAAAAATATAAAATTTTTGAATGGGTAAAATACCCCCATATTGTCCTTACTAGTAATTTCATTAAAGAATATTATTGAAATATAAATCATTTGGTATCTACAATATAAGTGCACTTATTTAAGTCATATTACTTTTTTTAATTTTTGAACAATTTTTTTTAAAAAACATTAAAAAATATATTTATTTAGACCATTTCAAATAATCTACTAATAATATGTACGAAGCCGATTAGTAGTGTGTAAATAAAATTACCAAAAAATAAATGAAAAGGAAATGACGAGTGTGTCCTCTCTCTAGGGCTTTGAAACCAACACACAAAATCCACATTTCTCTTCTCAGCCAGTGAACGATCTCTTCTGGTGAGTTTGAATCTCTGCTTCTGCTATTTTTTCAATGTTTGATCTTCACAAACTTTTCTTGATTCCCTGTTTACTGGTATGTATATACATAATTGCGTATATGTATGTGTATATCTATCTATACTATTATAAAGTGAACACAATTTATGGTGTCATGAAGCTTTACTCTCCTCATGCCATGTGGCAGTATTTTTTATTTTTTAAAAAAAAGTTAAACAAAGAGATGGACAAGGCTTGAACCCATGACCATGGGTTTAAGTAAGAGGACTCATATCACTTAAGCTAAGTACACATTATAATATTAATTTTATTATTATTTTTTTTTATTCCTACTTATTTAAATTACATACACATCGTGTGTGTCACCCACTAGTATATATATATGTGTGTATAGTCACGTTAATTTTTTCACTCGGCGAACTCTTTGATTCATGCTTGGTCATACTTCAGATTGCCCTAATGATCTTTGTGTGCGTATTTGTATGTGTTTGAATGTATTCAAAAATATGTAGTTATAATGTACATATAGGGTGATTATTCATTTCTCCCGGAGTATGGATACCTGGTGCTTCATAAGGTTTTTTATTAGTGGAGAGATACAAGGCCCCACGATTTATGTTGGAGATGGGGAAAAACATGGGGCTTGATTGGTTTGGAGTATAGACGCGTGGTGCTCCGGGAGTATTGAATAATATCCCGTACATATATGTGTACACAGTTATATAATGCCTAGGAGCTTTTGTTTTGGGGTAAGACTCAAATCTGATATGAAAATTGGATCTTCACAAGTCTGCTTTGGAATTTGAAAAGTTTTTTTTTGCATATTGTGATGTGTGCACATATGATCATTTTGTTTAAAAAAATAAAAATAAAAATAAAAATTATAAACTGTATGATTGAATTCAAAATTTAAAAATTGAAATGAATTTGGAAAAATTAGAAGTTGAGAGATTTGAAGGCGAAACAAATATTTGAATTTAGGGCATAACTGCCCACATAATTGATATAGGGATATTTTAGAAAAATCCAAAATATGAGACATAAATACCATGAGAAAGGCTTCTCTTTATAATATGTATAGATAGATAGATAATTCTATTTATTTTTAAATTGTATTGAGAGAAGAAACTTCTGATTTGATGGTTAATAGATTTTACTTTTATTGAGTAATAAATTTACAAAAATGCTATGAATGCAGAAAAATACCTAGAAAATGGATTTTATTTATTGTCTCGTAACATTGACAATCAGTTTGGTTATGACATTTCAAATTCTGGGCACTTTTGTGAGCATTTACCTTTTCTGATAAAGTTATTGGCCAAAAGCATCAAAACCAAAGAAAGCCGAGTAATGCTATGTTTGGATGTTGGGTTTATCAAGAGAAAGGAATAAATTTAGCTTCTTTCACTTCAATTCTTTTCTTCTTATTTTTGCCCTCCACAAATCCATGATCCAAACAAAGCCTAAAGTATTGATCTCTACTTGAGTCATTTGAGATTATGTACTTTGGTTTAGTGAGGGCGAGTCTAATGCATTGAATATCAGTATGCACTATGAATGTACTTTTTCATTTTTGTCTTTTGGTCTGATGGTTCTAGGTTAAGCAAAAGGATTATATGCGGATAATGGGCCGTGGTTTCCTCTGAAATTTGTTTTTTCATCTTTGTTCTTCAGCCTATGGAGAATAGGTGGGTTACGATTGTTCAAGTGCTCCAATCAAAACTTGAGGGCCGGTGAGTGGCAGTTACTATTACAGTTCACACAGACCATGATTCATTTGTTCCGCACTGCCAACGTAAGATGTTCGGCTGATATATGTTCATCAACAACTAGTATATTGCATTTTCTTCAAAACAACCCTTTACCATCATCATCTTTGCCTTTCAGATCAACCTCAACTTCTTTAAATCAACACTCATTTACTGTCTCTTACCTCATAAACTCATGTGGGTTCACTCCAGAATGAGCTCAATCAGCTTCTAAGTTTGTCAAATTTAAATCCCCAGATAGACCAGACTCAGTCCTCACCTTCTTGAAGAACCATGGATTCTCCCAAATCCAAATCTCAAATGTCGCCAGAAAAGTTCCTGCTATTCTTTCGTGCGATCCCAAGAAAACCCTTTTACCCAAATTTGAGTTTTGGTACTCCACAGGCATTTCAAAAGCTGACCTTGCAAAAGCAATAACTACTGGCCCAGTTGTTTTGAAAGGAAGCCTAAAGAACCGGATTATCCCATCTTTCAATTTCTTTAAAGCTTTGCTACACTCGAATACTAAATTCATCTCAGCCTTTAAATGATTCCCGCAAATATTTGTTCAAGATCAAAAAGCTGTTACAATCCCCAACATCAAAATTATGAGACAACATGGCGTGCCAGAGTCAAAAGTCGTGTTTTTACTTACTACTCAGCCTAGATCATTTATAATGAAGCCTGACGAATTTAAAAAGATAATGTACGAAGTGAAGGAAATGGGTTTTGACCCTTCAAGAAAACATTTTGTGCTTGCGGTTCACGCATTGACGTCAATGAGCAAATCAACATGGCAAAGGAAGGTAGAGGTTTATGGGAAGTGGGGTTGGTCTGAGGAACAAACAATTCTAGCTTTTGGAAAAAATCCATGGTGTATGATGGCATCTGAGGAGAAGATAATGGCAGTAATGAATTTTTATGTCAACACAATGGGTTGGGAATCTTCACGAATTGCCAGACGTCCAAAATGGATTTCACTAAGCTTGGAGAAGAGAATTATCCCGAGGTGTTCTGTTGTTCAAGTTTTGTTGTCAAAAGGTTTGATTGACAAGAAACGCCTTAGTTTAGCAACATTGTTGGAGTCTACTGAAAGTTTGTTTCTTGAGAAGTTTGTGATCCAGTACAATGAACAAGCACCCCAACTCTTGAAGCTATATCAGGAAAAGTTCAGTCTCCAAAAGACATAGAGGAATGGGTGTGAAATTAAGACCAAATAATCACAGAATGTCCAGTGCTCGAATCTATATAAGTTGACATCTGTTGCATATCTTGTTATTACTGAAACATTTGGTTGCATATTTGACTGATTTTACTCTCGACAATGTTACTGTTGCTATTACTTGAACCTTTCATGCTATTGTGATTGTAAACCGTGAGTGCATAAGATTCATAAGTTTAACATGACCAAATGCTAGCATTTTTTGATTATGAATATGTCAAAACATCCAAAATTTTGCTGCATTTCATTTTCTTAACCCATATGGTGAAAAACCATTATTGTTCTGGAAAGGCCCTTCATCTGAGTTCTTATGCAGTTGATAATTAGGTTATAGACATCTTCTTTCAACTATTTCTGTACTTGGGCATTCTGGAAAATATTGCCAGCTACTTAGAGATGGATGATTAATTACATAGATTAAAAAGTAGAGTAAAAAACAATGTGAGACAGAAAGTAAATCCACAAGTTTGCATATCATACATAAATCCCCCGTTTGGTGAAGCTTATTGATTGTTTTTAATTTTTTGGGCAAATTACATATACTCCCTTGAGGTTTGGCTAAATTACAAATACTCCCCTGAGGTTTGAGAAATTACAAATTCTCCCTTGAATACTATATTTGCATAACAAATTAGGGGGTAATTTGTTATGAAATATAAACCTCATGGGACAAATTGTTATGAAAATACAAATCTCAGGGGGCGGGATGTAATTTTTGAAACCTCAGGGGAGTATCTGTAATTTAGCTAAACCTTGAGGGAGGTATATGTAATTTGTCCTAATTTTTTTTTTTCTGTGAGAGTTTGTATCTGCATAGAACTTATGAAGAAAATTGACACTTTTTTTTTTCTTTTTTGTTTTTGGGCTAAAAGAACTTCATTTCTTAGCGTTAAAAAGTACATAGTGGAGTTGCTGAGAACAGATAAAGCAAATGAAGAAAAATGGCTTGAATAAGCTGAAAGTTATTGGGAAACTGAGAGAAATATTTTTGAATTGTGCGTTCGGATTTATAGTTTTTGAATTGCAATGCCAATAATCTACACCGTCTGTGCATTTTTGCATTTTTGTCTGCCAATTCAAACACAAATAAACTTCCTTTGGCTTTAGCTTTTGAGCTTACTTTTTTTTTCCCCTTATTTATTTCTTTTAGTAACGTGGTTTATTTATTTATTTTCAATAATTCGTTTTAATTTTTTTACTTTTGAAGTTCGTTCAGACTAATGATTTTAGCTAAAAAAATCAAAAAGTTAAACTTAGTCAACTCCCAAACGAGCCCAAAGGCTACATCCGTCTATTCCTTTCATGCCATGTCAAATTGCATTCCCTTATCTTTCCTTCGATGCAATATTTTTCATCAAAAATGTTATAAACCCGTTCTTATCAATTCATAATTTATCCTGAATGTATTTGTGATGAATATTAAATTAATTAAGTGTGGGATCTATGAGTAAAATAAATTGAAACTATTAATTTTTTTTTTTGAGTAAATTTTGAATTTATAAGTCTGAATTTGTAATGTTTCTGATTTTTCATAGTAATAAATAACCATTAATAGAATTAATTTCATTTAGGTACAAACTTGGTGATCCATTTTCTGCCGATTGAGACAGATGGCAGAGAAAGTGGGTAATAGATTTTTGAAAAATTAATCGAGAGCAAAGTTGTTAAAATCAGAGTCTTTAAGTAAGATTGGAGGGACTTGTGGATTGAATTGTAAAATCAGACAAAGATTATAAAATTTTACTTTCAATATAAAATAAAATAAAAAATTATTTATGATGATAATGTATCTTAAATAATTTTAAAATTATTAAAGAAAAATAATAGTAAATTTGATATAATGTATTTTTATGTTAACATAAATTAAAAAGGATGTTTAGAGAAAGAATTTACACTCATATATCTTATATAAATCTACACATGTACATATATCTATAAGAAACAAATAATAATATTTTTTTTAGTAGTATCAAGAGTGTAGTATAATCAGGTTCATAATGCGATTCTATATGATTTTATAACTAGGAACACAATCACTTTAACATCTTAGTGTAATTTAGATCCTTTATCCCAACTAAAATCGTATGATCTTACCCTGTAAGAAAGAATATGCACAACTTGTACAAGCAAAACACAATTTTATTTGGCTTAGTTTTTTATTTTTTTTTGTTTTATTTATTTATTATTTATAGTAATTTTTTTCATACTTTAAATAAATTTTTTATATAACTTTTTAGAAGCACCTAAATTAAATCTAGATATACTTAAAAACAAAATATTTGTAAGAAATTTAAATTTTACGATAAAATAAAGAGAACCTAAATACAAAAAAAACAAAAAACAAAAATATTCCTTCCATGACATGTCAAATTGCATTCCCTTGTCTTTCCTTCAATGCAATATTTTTCATCAAAAATGTTATAAACCCATTCTTATCATTTCATAACTAGCTTATCACCCGTGCAATACACAGAATAATTATAAATATTTATATTTATTTTAGATTTTTTTTAATATATAAATTATTTTTTTAAGGTTTTTTATAAAAATAATTTAACAATCTTTTCAGTAATCATAATGCTGTAGTAACTATGCACGAGTTGTATCTATAATTATTTATATGAGGGGATTTTGACCAAAACTCTCAAAAGGCATGTAGAAAGACATGTGGATTGAAAAAAATTAATAAATACTAATCAGAAAATTTTGACAAAATCAATAAATGCAAGCATGTGGAAAGGCATGTGGATTGGAAAAAGTTAATAAATGCTGATCAGGGGATTTTGACCAAATCAATAAATGCTGAGGTTTTTTTTTTTAAATCAAAAATTTAGAAAATTAAAAATGGGATATTGAAACTCCCATAAGGCTTGGGGTTAGAAACCCCATTTTCCTTATATATAGACTAGCCTATCACCCGTGCTATGCATGAGATAATTATAGATATTTATATTTTTTAAAATTTCTTTTAATATATATATTATGTTTTTTAAGATTTTTTATAAAAATAATTTAACAATCTTATTACTAACCATAGTATACAGGAGAAATTAAAAAGGCTACTGTAGTAACTATGAACGAGCTGTATCTATAATTATTTGCATGAGGGGATTTTAAATGTTAATCAGAGATTTTAATCAAATCAATAAATGCAGGTATGTGGATTGAAAAAAATTAATAAATGTTGATCAGGGGATTTTGACCAAATCAATAAATGCTGAGATTTTTTTTTTAAAATTAAAAATTTAGAAAATTAAGATTGAGAGATTGGAGCTCCCACAAGGCTTGGGGTTTAGAAACCCCATTTTTCTTAATATATTTACAATTATCTATATATGTGAATTGTGATTTTTAAATGTTTTTTTTAAAATATCTTTTTTTTTCTTTTTTTATATTATATTAAAATTTAATATTTTGATAATAATCATATGTGTTGGACTTTTCAAGAAATTAAATGTCTTCTTTTTTTTTATTATATTATATTAAAGTTTAATATTTTGATAATAATCATATGTGTTGGACTTTTTTTTTTATACTTGTTCTTAATGCATTAAAGTATTATTATGAGGGATAATAATCATATGTGTTGGGACTTTTTAAAGAATTCATATGTGTTGGATTTCAAAGAATTTTTTTTTATACTTGTTCTTAATGCATTAAAGTGTTATTATGAGGGTAAGACATGGAGGTTGGGAGAAGTTAATAAATGTTAAGATTTTTTTAAAAAAAAAAAAAAATCAAAAAATTTAGATTGGGATATTAGAGCTTCCACAAAGCTTAGGGTTAAACCATTTTGCTTAATATATAGTATAGATATAGATTTATCCTGAATGTATTTGTGTGATAATTTATCCTGAATGTATTTGTGTGATAAAGATTAAATTAATTAAGTGAGATCTAGGAATAAAAAAAATTGAAACCATTAAATTTTTTTTTTTTTTGGAGTAAATTTTGAATTTATAAGTCTAAATTTGTAATGTTACTAATTTTTCATAGTAATAAATAACCATTAATACAAATATATATATATATATTTTTTTTTTCATATTTTTTCATATTTGGTGAGTTTTTTTTTATAATTTTTTTCACAAATACATTAATTTTTAAGTGAATTTAAAAATTAAAACACAATAAATTAAAGTATAAAAAAAATTCACTTAAAACAACGAAACATATGAAAAATAAGAACTCGAAAACACTCTTGTTTGGTTTAATTTTTTAAAAATTATTTTTAAACCAATTTTCGTTTGTCTCTAATAAACTTTTTTTTATATTTTAATCGAAAAGTTTCTTAAACTTTTTAAATACATCAAAATTAAATACAATAAAAAAATAAAAACTAACTAAAATATAAAAGAAAAATCACTAAAAAAAAAAAAAAAAAGTTTGGTTTCAATTAAATTGAATTTTTTTTTTCGGTGTTTTTTTTAATGAATATTTTTAAAACTTTGAATTTTATTTTTATTTTTATTTTTTTTAGATGCATATATATCTAAAAAGTTTAAAAAAATAAATAAATATAAAAAAGTCACTAAATACAAACAAAAGGCCATTTAAAAACAAGTTTGAAAAATCAAACCAGAGTAGCATTTTCAGATACAAAAAGGAATGGTTAAGTCAGATTAGTGTAAGCAGATTTTCGCAGCAATTCAATGAGGAGTTATCTTTAAATTTGCATTGTAGTCAGTGGGATCAAGGTAAGGCATAACAAAGCATGTAGCTTTCATCTCACTCATACTCAAACCTCATCATCACTATACAAGAAACCACATATAGCAAACCATAAAATGAAATTTCACAGCCACCACAACCTCGACAACAAATCATTAGATTAAGAGAGACAACACTTCTCTTTCCAGGTGCCAGCGTTGTGTTTTTGTGAGAGAAAGAGAGAGAGAGAGAGAGAGAGAGAGAGGACTGCAACAATTACAATGGTGAGAGGCTAGTTGAACACAGTGGAAAGCTTTAACAGAAACAATTACAATCTTTTTTCTTCCAAGGACAGGTAATTTCAAACAAGCCTAAATAACAAGCATCAACAGATCTGTGAGAGGATTGCAGTAATCATCAGATGGTGATTAGCCCCCAATGATCGCATTCGTACACTGAAAACACATTACATTATTTTTTTTCATCTGACAAACACATTACATACAATTACAATTTTTTTTCCCTGGGACAGGCGATTTGTACCTACTGTCCTTAAGTACCTGGCTTCAAGGGCAAAATGTACAAGAATTCACAAGTTTCTGGGCCCCAAGCAAAGGGGGACTTGAATAGTGGCAACATTTGCCGCAGTTTGTATACTCAACTTCACCACCACAAACTGATCCCCTCAACTTTTGGTGCTATTTGCTGCATCAATATAGCCAAGTTCATTTGGAGTATATCAAACTGGCCAAATCATGCTAAGTACCTGAACAGGTTTGGGTTGTCCTTGTCTCTTTCCAGATAGTCCCGAGTGATCAAATCTTCAATCCTCTTTTTGATAGCCTTGAAGTCAGGCTGTTGATTCATAGTTTATCAACACCACTTGGTTAGAACCTAATTATTATTTTTTTAGTAGGACAGCGGATTGAGGACATTTCACGGACACATGCCCCAGACATGCCTCAGGACACTTCGGGGTTTTTTTAAAAAATAATTTTATAAACTTGATTTGGGGTCAAAAGTAAAATATATGGATACAAAATGTTCTTTTTTTTTAAAAAAAGATACATTTAAGTACACCTACATGTATATTGATATATCTTATATCTCTATGCCCTAAATTTGTATTCATATACATAACAATATATATAATTTTTGCAATATCCCCACCATGTCCATATCTAAACCTTCTCAAAATCGTCATCTCCAGTGGCCATGTCAATGTCTGTGCTTGTTAGGTTACTAAAGAAATAAACTGCTAAATAGAAGATAACTGAAAAATAAGGGCTCTAAGGTACCTTGAACATGCGGCCCAACTGTTCAACACACTCCATAACCAACTGCTGGTGGCCCAAAACTTTCCGACTCTTCATTATTCGCACAATTGATGCATCAATAGCGTACCTTCTGTCCTTGTCAACATCTTCAATTACCTTTTTCTTCTCATCCACAGGAGGGAGAGGAATCTGCTTTTCAAAGCAGTTTTACATCCCACTCAAAAAATTGGTTAAAGGAAACAGACATGAACATGAGATGCTGAGGCGAAAATGGAAAACAATCCCAATACCTTAATCCTTCTCATCTTGTCGGTGAACTTGGCGTTGAACTCGAAGTGATCAGTTGGAGAGATTGTCTTCGTGTTGGGCTCTTTTGTAAGAATCTTATACTTTGCACATGAAAGGGAATGTAGCAGTCTAACAACATCATCATCCGTCAGATTTAACTGAGTCATGATTTCCTGATAACTCAATCTGTCTGAGGCATTAAAGAGCAGCAGAGCAGAAGCCTGTACAGATGAAATGCTCAAGCTCAAGCCTAAAATCCATGCATTCTATTAAAAATTAACTTTAAACAAAAAAAACCTGGTAGGTTGTCACAACGAGCTCCATGGTTTTTGGTTCAAATTTACCATTGATGTTACTAGTACCCAATGAATATATCCATGTAAGTTTTCTGTGTTTTGTTTTTGTTTGATAGAAATCTCTGAAAACTTCAACACACTTGACCTAGAGCAGAAGTGATTAAATAGAGATGTCTGAGAATGTTCATCAACACAATATACTACACAAGTTCACAATGCAAACGGAGTTTTAAATTTTGAGAACCATGAGTGCAAAATCTAAAAGCATACCATTTCTGCTGGGAGGTTGAGATCGAAAGACTTGTAACTTGGCCAAAATCCAGTAGTCAGGACAGTAACAGTCAAGTCAATCCCTGGATTTACATTTGGATTGTTGTTCAGGTACTCCTCAAACTTGGTTTGATTTTCCCTTGCTAATGTCAAATCTGTGACCTGGAAGACAGGAAAGCCATTAGTATTCCAAAGCTTAGTTAGCACGAAGTGGGGGCAGTGGCGGGCGAATATAGAAGTCTCTAAGGTTGAGAGCACCTGTGCAAGAATATATATATATGCTACCTATAAATATATTCTAACAATTATTTTTTTCTACTTCATAAAATGTGTTAAAATATGAAAAAATATTTGAGATTGATGTCAAATACAAATTGTCTATCAAGTATAAATAAATATGATGTGCATAGAAAGTATTATAATAAGGCCAAGTTTGGCATGATTGAAAAAAGACAAATAGTCAAAAAGTCACCATCCTATTTAAGTCACATCATCTTATTTAAGTCACATCACCTCTCTAACACATCACTTCAAACCCAACCCAAACCCAACCCATATTTCATAAAAAGTCAAAAAGTACACTTATTTAGTCTTCCCAAACTAGGCCTAAGTTTAAGTTGTTTTTTCTTTTTTTTCTTTGAGATTTGTATGTCTAAGAGTTTCTAACTGTTGGGAGCGAGTTTCTTACTTGGGAGGACAGAAACTTGTTTCACAGTAATAAGTCACCAAAGTAGGAGTTTCATGCTTTCCAAAGCACCCAAAAGCATGATTTGCAATTCAACTTACCATTCCCTCCATCTTTGATGTGAACTGACCACCACACTGCTGCTTCAGCTTTGTGAGAATACTTCTCTCATGCTCATCATTGGCACTCTTGTCAAAAAGTAAGCGCCGAGCAAGCTTTTTTCTGGCAGCAGTTGTAACAAAAAAATAATTATCTACGAATCACTAAATCAATGTATTCTATAATAGCTATGAATAGACCAACTAAAATCTTGCATAATTTTATTTTACCTGTAGAATTCGGCAAACAGATCCTTATCACTAATATAAGCAAGCAGCTTTACTACCTGCACAATAAAAAGAGATCCAATTGCAACTTTATCTATCTCACTAATAAATCAAAATGCATTCTATAAAGAACGCACCATACCTTCTCAAGTGTTTCTTCAATGGCTTCATCACTCAATTTCTCACTCCCACCTTTCTTAAGAATATTATCACAAAATGTGGCCAGTAGTTCTGCACTTGAGCTTCCACCAACACCCTTGTTGCAGAAGATTTCAAAAGCCTCCTTGAGGGCCTAAGCAAAAAATGAGAGATGTTGATGTAGGAATAATAGGATTTTTTTAGCACGATCACGTGGCAATGTTTTAGCACAAACCTTGTGGAAAAGAGTATGGTTCATAAAACAGTCATTTACGTATGCGAGGTACTTGTCATGAAGCTCAATCACTTTTCTAACAAAAACCTGAAAGTGCCACAGCGTAGTCAGTCCCCACACCAAAAATCAAGAGTCAAGTTTCAGACTAATTATCAGAATTTGACATTACCTGTTCCTGAAGACCGATCACATCTTTCTTATCTGCCTGTAAAAGGGCATTTCTAAGCATTAGAACCAGTGACAAATATCAAACAGGTTCTAAGGGATGCATGATTAAATATGTTATTTCCATCCAAAAAAAAAATGAATAATAAAACAGTGAGTCAGTGACAAAATGCAACAGACTAAATTTGAAAAATACACGAGTCATTTCACAAAGATGGAAACCAAACAAAAATGCAAAGAATGGGCTCAGTTCAAATGGAATTGCATAGACTCAAACCAAGAAGACCTTTACCCAATGATTAGTAACCATAATAAACTTTTCCGTCAACTGAATTCTTCTAGAACATATAAATTTGAGAAGTACATTTCAAATTGGAAATGTGAATGGCATTTTGGCAAATAAACTGTTTAGCATTTAGTGTAGGCTAATGCTAACAAGTGCCCCTGGGGCGCTTGTTAAGGTATATTTATAGTTGTATTAATTGGTCTTGATTTCAATAACTATCTATTTTTAACTTGCATTTAATTAGATGCATTTAATGTTTGATAATTTTATTGACTTTTGAATCTATACAATATTTTGTAATTAATACACTACATTTTCTATGCATAAAACTAATTATTGATTTAAGATTTAATTTAACAAGTTTCAAGATGTATTTAATGAAAGTAGACTCATTAATTACTTCGTAATGACCCTCTACTGTATTATTAAATTGATTTTGGACCACAGTAGTCATAGTGTTTCACTTCAAAAGTTCTGAAGTAAAAACTTAAGGGCAAATAAGCATTTATGGCAACATGCTTTTAAGCAGCAGATCCATAATTGATATTTGGGCTTGGAAACAAATAAGGTCTGTATTCATGTCGTCTCTATCGCTAGTATCACTTTCATATGGAAACTAGAAGAACTTTTCTCTCAATCCTTTCATAAGTTTTTTTACATCCATAATCTGATATCAAGGCAATTGAAATCAGGGTCAGGCCCACTGGTCAATGTGAGCTAAATCAACCCAAAAATAACAAAAAATTTTGAAGTAACAGAATCGTTCCTGGATCACATAGTTGTGGAATCTTGACCCAACTCCTGATTCTAACACTCCAATTTATTTTTTATTTTTATTTTTTGGGATGTATTATGGCTCAGGGCCTCCAGTCAGATACCATTAAACCCAAAGATCTGTACCCCTTTAATTGCCCCAACGCAGATAATTATCAATCAGCCTTGAGAAATGCACCTCCTCAGAAGACATCTTGCAGAAAGACTGTGACCCTATGTTACATGGACTCGGCACTTTAGGGCGAAGTACCCGTGTCGACACGACACGACACGGGTGCGGGTGTGGGATCTGTGTCGGATTCGCCTTTCCTCTCTCGGACACGGCTAATCAAAAAGGAAGAAGAAGGTTGAGATACTTACATTGATGTATGGATTCAAGATCTTGATCGTGTCTTTTGATCTTCTTCTTTGTCTCGATCTCCTTCTCTCTCTCTATCACGATCTCCTTCTCTCCCTTGATATCTCTTTCGATCGTGCTGTGTGTGTGAGAGAAAAGAAGAGAAGAGAAGAGAAGAGATAGACCCATCGTGTTGCTGTGCGTGTGAGAGAGAAGCGAAGAGGAGACAGACCCATCGTGTTGTTGCTGTGTGTGTGAGACAGACATGTCAAAGCTGCTGCTGCTGTTTGTATCAAACCCTAATGACTGGATGCTGTGCGCGTGAGACAGACATGTCAAAGCTGCTGCTGCTGTTTGTATCAAATCCTAATGGCTGCACCTAATGGGCTGGACCTAATAAATAAATAAAAGGCTTGTAGGCTGGACCTAATAAATAAATAAAAGGCTTGAGCTATTGGCTAGTAAATATTATAAATCTTAATGGGCTGGACCCAAATAAATAAATAAAAGGTTTGGGCACTGATTTGTATCATAAATTAATATTTTAAACTATAATGGGCTAGACCCAAAAAAATAAAGAAAAAAATTACACCTATTGGCTGGTTTGTATCATAATAAATCTTAATGGGTTGAATCCAAATAAATAAATAAAATATTTGAGCCTGTTAACAAACTCTATTCAACAATAACATGGGTTATTATATGACTTATTCATATGTTTGATTTTATTCATAAAAAAAAATTATTGGATCAACTTTTTTTAACTCATCTTCATATAATAAATATATTTAAAAAATAACTATTTAACTCATTTTTTTATAATAAATATATTTTTAAAATAACTATTTAACGTATCGTACCCGTATCCATATTTGGATCTATATCCACGTATCCTTAATTTTTAATTTTGAAGTGTCCGACCCCCAGATACGCACCCGCACCCGCACCTGAGTCCATGTAACATAGCTGTGACCTGACATAAAACAATCAAGATACATACCTTCTTATTGCTTGCTGCATCTTCTGCTTGTTTAACCAAGGTGGTACCTTCAGCAGTAACATGCTGCATCAAGGAACACCAGGAAAAACATTAAAATGAAGAGAAAGACACAACTAAAACCAAAGGCTCCGTGCTAATGGATTTTCAGAACAAAGAGTGCAAGTTCAGGACAAACAAACCTGTTTAAAAATACTAGAAACGGGTTCTAAGCCTCGAGGTATTTTAGAAAAGAGCCTATACATCCTTGATAAATCCTCCACCTAAAAGGAAAGAGAATTTGGTTACATACTTAACATTGCAATTGATCTAAATAGCAAAAATGATTGAATAACAACATAGTCCAAGCGACTACCTTGTCGTCCCTAAGTAATGCATGACATCCAGAGTGTTCTTTCTCAAGCAATTGGGTTGCATACACGGACAACAACTCATGTTGAACTTTCTATAGAAAAACAAATGACCCATAAGTGTAAAAACAACAATGGATATCTTCAAAATTGGTCTCAGAATGAGAAAGCTAATATGAAAATACAAGAGGAAGAACAAACCTCAAGCAACTTTGGCTCACTACTGGAATGTAGGTAATGAGAAACCCTATCCTTCTCTCGTTTCAAACACTCCTCAGCCTGGAGTTCCAAAAGGATGTTCATAAATTATATAGGATGATAAAACAAATATATCTGAACCTAACGAGAAAAAGAAATGTAGATATTTACTTTCAGCATATAATCAGGACATGAATCTTCCAAGATCCAGTTTGAAGCCTTCCGAGAATAATAAGCAGCGGTATCTGCGAGCATAGCTGCTTCAAAGTCATTCTCATAATGATCCATTTGCCCCATTCCGATCTCAACAAATATATCCAATACATTCTTTAACAAAGCTCGGTCAATCTGCTCTCCTTCACGCTCTTGATCAATCTGGTTAGAAGATATGGTTGATTAAACTAGGTGTGAAACATGGAAAGAATGCACAATTTAGGTAATGGCTTAGACATACCAATGATATTATGGCATCCCTTACTTTTCCATTTAACTCCACATAGACCTGAAACCAGAATATACGTTCCACCAATATTTCAATGCAACATATCTCATTTCACACAAGGAAAGGGCAGGTCAAAAGAAAAAGAAGGAAAAAGATGATCATGATGATGCTACATTCTGTGATTAGATTAAAAAAAAAAATAATAATAATAATAATTAAGAAAACAAATTATAAGGAGTTGTTTGGAAAGTGCTAGATTAGTATACTTTTTGACTTTTTACGAAAAAACGTGAAATATGGGTTGGGTTTGAAGTGATGTGGTAGAGAGGTGATATGACTTAAATAAGATGATTATGACCTAAATAGGATAATGTGCTAAAATAGCATGTGCTAAACAACCACCAAGTATCCATACAAAGTATAGGAAATAAAGATGGCAAGATAACAGTTGGGAACAACAGTACAAGCATGACATACCAGATCACGGAAGCAAGTCAGTCCAACTTCGTTAAGTGCTGGAAGTGACCTCCGAGCAATAAAGTAGCGATCAAGGTAATGAAAGAATCGAGAAAGCCACCTGACCATCACTTTATGATTTGACCACCTCTTCACAAGCTCTCTCAACATGAACTCATCATGCTTCTCCCTCAGAGAAGGCAATACCTGAACCAGTAAGCTAGTGAATAAAATTAACTGCAAGAAAACTTGCAAAGAACTAACCCTACAAGTTTAAATGGCCAAAAACATGTTATCAGAGAAATCTAAATTAGTCCATCATATATGCATTAAGCTGGATATAAACTATAACCTAAATGCAAGCCATGGGCATTTTTGTAATTTTTACAATCTGCAGCAGCTTTTCTAATGCAGCTAAGAACCCACATGTGAAAGGATAAACTTCATTAGGAAAAGTAAAGCATTGAGAAAAATGGATAATCCACTACTTATAAAAAGAATAAAAAAGGGAGGATAGTATGCTCACCAATATAGGGAACACATTCCTTATATTATATGCATATATATAGTCATATAGAGATATGTCAGAGGGAAACCCTTTTTTGTTTTTTGATAGGTAAATATAAATGTATTATAGAAAACAGCCACAAGGGGCGCAACCTTGTATGCATGGAATATACAAAATAAAGGTTGCACAGTACTGATGATATGCATAACAACATCACTAAGAAGATCTTATACAAAGAAAGAATGTCTTAACAGGCACAAACAATAAATAAACGACCAGCTGAAAAAGCATCATTCTAACCATACAAAAGATTAGAGATTCATAACCCCAACATACTGAATAGAACAAATTACCTAATTTGTCCTCAACCTCTTCACAATATACAGAATACCGGGACATTTATTATTATCTCTACCAGTTCCTCATGTCGTGGGACCCAAATTGTATATGAAGTACAGCATAAAACATTATCACACTTGTAAACACCGCATTCCAAATAATTTGTCAAAAGGACATAGTGTTTGCATATCTTTGTTTGTGTTTGCCTGATCGAAGCATGGATAGATAACAAATATGCTTAAATTACATGTCTTTGTGTCTGTGTGAGCCTCACCATAGCAAATATAGATCAAATGAATGAAATCTTCCTTACCGTAGAAGTAATGTACTCTTCGAACGATTCCCGGTACTTATCATACAGCTGCTGAGAGTAATCGTGAGGCGGCTTTTGAGTACACATATTATAGATAGTTCTGTATACAAAATTAAGGAGAAGACCCACACACAATTAACAAAACCATTACTTATAAAAAGCAATTAGATATCAAAACAGATGATCGAGAGGATACGTATAAAGCATCATGTAATCCTCCGAGCTGAACTGCGGCTCGGGTTGTCCTTCTAGAATGTTCTTCAGCTTTGTAATCCCTTTCTGCATGAACTCCCATCCCTGGTCTAAGTCAATCGTCTTCCTCTCATTCATTGTCATCTTCTTCCCCCACTCTAATCACCAACTCTAAACCCAAAATCTACAAATCAAACATACATCAAAAGCTAGCATAAACCCTAATGATCGTATAATCAAATCTAGAAAGCCAAAAACCCTGGATCTAAGCTCGAAATCCCTTGAATCGAACTTCAACAACAAAATTTAGGGCTTGAATTAAGATTTTTTGGATCGATCAGCGAGACTAAATCTTGATAAAAGAAACAGCTATGCAATCAAACAAAGAATCGAACAAGTTGAGAATACAAATATAGATAAAACAAGAAATTGAGAAGAAATATAGAAGAATATGTAGAGATAGACCTGAATTGGCAGACGAAAAAACCCTAATTGAAAGCATCAGAATCGATGAAGAAGAGGCATGAACTCCGACAGAGCATTGATGAGAAAACGAAGAGAGAGAGAGAGAGAGAGAGAGAGAGAGAAAGTTGGGTGAGATCACTGAGACGACTCTTCTATCCTTTTGGCCTTCAATTTTGTTTTTTTTTTGTTTTTTTTGTCAATTAAAAAAAAATTCACCAAAGTGTAATTACATCACCAAAGTGTAATTTTACATATCTTCACCAGAGAGTATTTGCCTTCTTATTTTATACAAACTTTTGTCAAGAAGATAAGAAAATAAATAAATAAATTAAAATTTGAATAAATTAAAAATTGACTATTTTTAAAAAGTGATATAATAACTTTTTAATTAGGACAAATTATAGTTTGGGGCTTTTTTCACTTTAATCCAGACTTTTCAATTGCGACATATTTGATTTTGAATTTTGAATTTTATTTCAAATAAAGGCAATTGAAAATATCATTGCTCAATTTCAAGAGTAAAATTGTCAATTTGATAAAATATAAACTAATTTAACAAAAATAATATCTAAAAAATTATTTTTGAATTTTTAAAAATTATTTCTACTCACCAAAGATAAAATTATGTAAAATTAATAAATCTTTTACACATTTATTTATTTTTTTACCAAATTAATTTTTATTATATGTTTAGATGATGATCGTATAATGGGTGGTTGTTAGGCTTTTAATGTGTAATCTATATATTTAATAGGAAAAATTAGTCTACCATCCCTCTCCAATTTTTAGTAATAAAATAAGTCCACAATATTTTCTTTTGTAGTCTAAAGTTCCTCATCCCATACCCTTATAACCACCCATTACATGATCATCATCCAAACATATAATAAAAATTAATTTGGTAAAAAAAAAATAGTTGTGTAAAAGATTTATTAATTTTACATAATTTTATCATTGGTGGCTAGAAATAAATTTTTTAAATTAAAAAATATTTTTTAACATTTATTTTTGTTAAATTGGTATTTTATCAAATTGACTACTTTGTTCTTAAAATTGAGTAATGATATATTCAATTGTCTTTATTTGGAACAAGTTTTAAAATTCAGAGTCAAATGTGTCATAATTAAAAAGTTAGGGATTAAAGTGACACAAGCCCTATAAAGTGACACAAACCCTAAATTATAGGGACTTTTAGTGTAATTCATCCTTTTAATTATTTTAATTAAATGTTAAATGAGACCTAAATTAGATCCAATAAATAAATTTATTTATTTTATATATTTATTGTTATGTGCAAGTAATATTATTATTTATTATATGTAATTTTTCTTTTATATTTTGTGATTTTCTTTTATATTTTGTGATTTGGGGATGTAAAATTGGCCTGGACTTTTATATTTTGTGATTTGGGGATGTAAAATTGGCCTGGACTTGGGTAAACTTATACCAAAAAAGGAAGTCTTGCCTTTTTTATTTTTTTTTGGTCTTGTTTTATTTATTTTTTATGTGGCAATGATGGAATTTTTTTACAAAATGGCTTTGAAGGTCTATAACTTAGTCAATTAATATTCGTAAAAGTTTTCATTTTTATATGTTGTCAAATTTGGGAGAGGGGTCACTGGGACCTACCTCCATAATTTTAAGACTAATTGAACAAATTATTTGTGTAAAATATTATGTTAATCAAATATTAATAGTTATGTAATAGATTTTTAAAAAATGATTTATTCTCACAAATATATATATATTTTAAAAAAATAATTTGATCATGTAATTATCAATATTTAATAAATATAATTTTTGATGTAAATAATCTGTTTAAAAAATCTTAAAAATAAATAATTAGCCTCATAAAATTAATCGGACATAACTTATATGGTTTGGGCACACCATTGACTTTTTCTCCAGTCAAATTTTGGTCCTCAATCTGTTATGTATGATTTGAAAAGGTGTCAAAAACTAAAAGAGAGAACAATGCATAAAAAAATCTAAAAGAGAGAACAATGCATAAAAAAATTACACAAAATAAAACATATGTATCTAATATGTAAATCCCATTTTTTTTGGTCTCACATTTGTATCTTATTTTATAAAATTTTTCTACTCTTAATCCAATTGAAAACTGAAGTATTGAAGCATATGACATATGACTTTGCGTACCTTATAACCAAATGCAGGCTAATATTGGAGAAGTTATTCGGTGGTATTGGAGAAGTTATTAGTTAGTCTTGGAGTGCAGTTATGTGGTGTCCTATGTATGTTTTAATTGGTAGAAAGATAGAGCTTACGATTTTGTATTTAGTGATTAAAAAATATGAAAAGAAATAAAAGTTTATAATTGGCCTAGGACATGGCTACGTGGTGCGCCTTAGGACTAACCAATAATTTTTTTTTCAATATTGGCCTCAAAGCCTAAACAGCAATCACAAGGCAAAAGATGTTACCATCTCTAAGTTATTTTGGAAAAGTTTGAGCCATGAACAATTACATTTGTATATCATATTATATTTATTATACGCGTCATTGTTACATGAATAGTAGATATAAATAGTGAGATTCATTACAATAATAAAATATAAGATAATACGAAAAGTTAATATTTTTTTTAGAATATTAATCTTTATTAACATTAAATTGATCAAAATGTTACACTAATTATTTAATATATTAACCCCATTGATTCAATAAAATCAGAAAGAAGAAGAAGAAGAAGAAGAAAGGATCCAGGGGTTCAAAAAGAAAATGGAGTCTTACACTATTGAATTGCTATGGTAATTGCATCACTCAAGATGACTACGCTAATTTAGTTAAATTTATTAGATTTTTAATACAGTACAATATTTGATAAAAAAAAAATGAGTATATATAATATTATTTTAATAGCAACTTTACCATTGCATAAAACCTATTCTAAAAATTAGCTAAATCAAATAGTACAAATCAAGAGGCAACTAAAATGACACAAATTACATATTGTAGATATCCCATTTTTGACCGTCCTCAAGACTTGAACGTTATCGTTTGAACATTCAATGATCATCCATGTTCGTGTTCGTTTTGAGTTCTCGGAGGTCTCGGATGCGCGTCTCGCCTCAAGATCTCTCAACTTGTCTATTTTGTGTTTGGTTATGGACCAAACACTTGTGCTTTTGCTTCTGACGGAAGAGGGTGGTTTGTTGGCCATTTTCTCAACCCATCCGCCAAGGCTTGAGGCCATTGGCCCCTTTTTCTTGCCATCGGCCAAGAGTGTTGGCCGATCGGCACTATATTTGGTCGGTTGGCCACCTTTGTTGGTCGATCGACCATATTTTCCGGCCAATCCCTTTTCATCTGCTTTTGGCAGATATTTTTGTGCCAGCTGGCACAGCTGGCACGCACAATTCCTCCCCTCCATACACGTGTATGGAGGGATTTGAGCCTTGCTTAGTTTCTCCAAGAAGCTTGGCAAAATTAGATTTCTATAAAAGGAGAGCCTCATCTCCCTTTCCAGGGGTTCTAGAAATCTGATATACAAGTTAGATATCTCTCTCTGTCTCTCTCTCTCTCTCTATATCTCCCTCTCTCTAGATTTGTATGTGTGTTTGAGCTCAAAAGTGTGTTTTGTTCTTACTATTGCACACAAACACCTAGCACTACACTATCCTTGGTTGCTGAGGCACTAGAAGGTTGATTTTAGAGTTCTTGGGCTGCTTTTGATCCAAGAAGATTGCTGGAGTTGTGTTCTTGAAGTTGTTCTTCAAGGGTGAGTCAACTTGCTTTTGATACCCCATTTTGGCTTAAGCTTTTACACATACTTCTATATTGTTTTAAGCTTGAATCTAAACTATAAAAAGCTCTGATTTTGTATGCTTGTTATGGTTGTTTAAGGTCACTTTTTGGTTAAGTGTTGTCTACCCCCTCTTAGGCCTTGTTTGGCCTTGTTTTGTGCCTTTACTTTTGAGCTTTGGGATCATCTTATTTTAACCTTCCCACCACTAAAATCCAGAGGATTTTTAGTGGTGGAGAAATGGTTTTGAGGTCTTGAATAGAGGAGGGACACCCCTCTCCCTTTGTGTCTCATTTGCTTGTGTTGTTGGCTTATAAGAGTAGCATGTTTACTTAGCATGTCTTGGTTCTATTTCAGCACTTTTTAGTGGCTTTTAGGACCTGCCTTAACTTTATTCCATGTTGGTTTGATGGCATCTTGCATGCTTCACATACTTGTAGAGTAATCTTGCATGTCTGCATAACATGCATCTTGTGTTTGGACCACTATTCTTGCATGTTTTGGCTCGACTCCATGGAGCTTTTCCTCATGTTTTACCACGTTTAAGCTCTGTTTGGTGTTGATTTGATCATATATGCATTGTCTTGCATATGCTTGGTTCATTCTAGCTTGTAAGCTTTGTGCCTTGAGTTCATTAGCATGTGTTACTTGAAGTATTTTCATGATTTGGCATCATGTGAAATGTGATTTCAGTCTATATTTCATGGTCACACACTTGCCTTTATCACCTATTCCATGCTTTGGATAGTTTGTGTTTCATGCCTTAAGAATAGGTCATTGTGCATGCCATCATACTTAGATCTTTGGGATGCCATCTAAGTGGGTTTTTGGGCTCATTCTAACATGCCATAACTCTGATTTTATTGGCCTAGGTCATGCCATGTTTGGTTGTAATAGGTGTAGTGCAATTGCCCCTTTTTGGCCTTGTATGCGTCTTGTTTTGTGCTCGTCTTTTTAGCATGTTTTGGCCTCATCCCATGCATGTTCTAGCCTTGTTTTGGTTCATCTTGGGACTGTTTTGGGTCACCTTGGTCCTTTGGGGCTTGGTTGATATGGCCATGGTTCAAGTACCTCGGCTAGTTTTGAATTTGAAGTCTATTAGCATGCCTTGCTTGTGTTGTGTGTTTGATTTGGCATCACTTTTAACATAATTTCAGAGTTTATGGTGTCACCATATTGCCATGATTGTTACCCCTCGCTCATGTTTGGGTGTTGTGACCTTGTGCTTTAACTCTTGGACCATTGCATGTGCATGCTCATTGTGCATTTCATTGTGTCATTCCATCACCTTTGGCCATTGTTTTTGGTACGGCTGAGGTCTATCCATCTTTAGTGTAAGTCCATGGGTCATGCATTTGTATATTGTTGTATGCTTATCGCATCGCATGTTGTTGCATCCTT